ATCTATGATACAGATATATAAATTGATGATATGATATGTATAGATAGATAGATAGATATAATTACGATATAGATAGATAGATAGATAGATAGATAGATCATGATAGATATTAAATAGATAGATGATAGATGAATCCAATAGATAGATAGATGGATGAATAGATAGATAATAGATGGATAATATAAATGAATAGATATTTGAGATAGATATTTATATGAACAGATATTATAGATAAATAATGAGATAGATAGATAAATAGATAGATAGATAGATAGATAGATAGATAAGATGAATATGAACAGATATTATCCTAGATAGATAAAGATATATAGATTTTGAAAAATGATAGATAAATATCTTATAGAATATAACAATTTAACCATGGATAGATAAGGTAAATAGATATGAACAGAATTTAATAGATAATATAAATTTAATTTGAACATAGATAATAGATATTAATAACATAGATGAATAAATGAATGTGAATTTTTTAAATTGATAGATAGATGAATAATAGATAATGGATAGATCTTAACATTAGATAATAGATAGATAGATGGAATTTACAGAATTAATAGATGAATAGATAGATAGATAGATTCATAAATCTGAACATTTAGATAGATAGATAAAAAATAGATAATAGATAGATAATGTGAACATAGATAGATGTAGATAGATAATATGAACAGAATTAGATAGATAGATATTTCATAAATAGATAAATAGATAGATAGATAAATAGATAGATAGATAGATGATGTTTTTTTTTCCACAAAACAATATAAAAATGTTCAAAATTAGATAGATATAAAGAAATAATTTTGTAAAATTACATACAATATACATTGCCTAAATGGGTAAGACGTTGGTTAGACTAGACCCAAAGTGTTATGAATTCAATACTACGCTACAGATTGAAGATTTGATTTAAAGGGAAATAACTCAGACATCTGGAAGAAACATGGCTCGTGGAACTAGAACAATCTACCTAGGTGGATGAAATAAAAAGTTTGGTTTGAAATTCCATTCACCTGAAGAAGTCCAGAGCAGCTACTCAATGGTCAAAAAAAAAAAATTATCGACAATGATGATTTAAAATTTTCAAACAGTCCGAATAAAATCAAATAGATATATATTAGTTTGTTGAAAATATAATTTTGTAATAATGTCGTTTTTGAAAACATTTTTAAGGTCAAAAAACGACATTATTTGTCATTCATTCATAATAAAAGATATTTTTCTACCTAATATTGAATGTGTTATAATATTTTGAATTTTTAAGTTATATTTGCAAGATGGAATTCTAAAAAAAAATTTGGCTAGTTTGGTATTTTTTCTTCGATCAGAAACTCGCTGCATCTCGTCTACAGTCTCTTTTTTTTTTTAACGTTCCGTCGTTCCCTCTGTCTTTTCTACAAATGCTTTCATGGTAACTGCTCCGACGAGCTACTTTCACTGGTTCCCAAACTGCATGAAATTAAGCGTGCTACTAGGCTGGCATCACGGTCCCACCCTTTCAATGTCGAAACGGTTAAATGTGGCCTCATCTTCTGCTCCAATAGCTTCATGTCTCGCACTTCCGGTCTGTGGAACTCCTTTCCTTTTACTTGGCACCCTGATAGTTTTAATCTTCAATTATTCAAATGCAATGTCAATCGACATCTTCAAATGCCTTGATCTTGATCTTCGTCCTCCTCTTTATCCTTTCCTCTATCACCCCTATTTTACACTTGCTCCTACTCTCGGTAACCCCTTGCGTGCTAGTGGCACTTCTGCCTCGACTAAGGTGAAATGCTTACAAAAATATACGTTACAAAAAATTCACAACCGTAATGCAGACAGATAGAAAACGAAATATTTTAGAAAAATTGAGAAAAGGTCGAAAAAGGTTTGATTTTCCTAAAAAAATGTGAAAAATCCAATCAGAAAAACCTAATGAAAAACGTGAAGAAATGAATTTTGGAAAAAATTAAGAAGAAAAAAAGATATCAGAAGGAAATCTTAAAATTTTTGAGTCCAACAAAATTAGAAGAGATAAAAAAAATGAATTCATTAAATGAAAATCAAAAAAAAAAAAAAAAAACTAGAAAAGGAATTTTCTGCTAAAAAAAGGAAAAAATTTTCTTAAAAAATAAATCGTAAAAAAAAAAAATTTTATAGATTATAATTTCTTCTTCTTCAAGCCATCGATTTTGTCCCTGACAGTCCAAACTGCTAGCTTTTTTCAGTAGCCTGACGGACTGTTCAATATGCAATAAAATATTTGATTCCGACCAATATTTTAATTCCACAACCGGCTCACTTTGTTCAAAGTGCGGAGATAAATTTTGCCAGAAAACAACCAATCAGCAATCCGACTAAATAGAAGCTTCTGTGATCCACTTTTTACACCAAATTTGCCGTCGAATGAAACTATTACATAGAAAATGCATTGAGATCTTTGTCGGCCAATAGTATTCGCTGAATCGAAAATAATAATAATACAATCGAATGGAAACAGAATGTTAAAAATCAAAACGAGTCTTTTGTCGCGTTGTGACGTGTCTATCACAACAATATTCTGGATGATGTCTGATTCTCTGAGCAAAAAATCACCATTTTTGAGATTTCATTTATCATTGTGATTAGACTTGCCTATGAAATAGAATCTAATAGACACCATCGGATTTTATTCGCATTATTTCTAATTGATTTGTTTAACGGCACATGAACATCCTTATGAGATATTTAATATCGAAAAATAATTTTCTTGGAGATCTTTGGAGTAAAAAAAAATATGTTAATTCTTCCAAATTTGAATACACGGTGAAGGATCCTCAGCTTTTGTGTATATACATTTCTGGTCTCAAGACACCTCGGTGGTGGAATGGCTGGGACGAAACAAAATTTCCTATAACAATTACTCATGAATAATGAGTTCGATCGTCACTTTGTTTTTCTATTCTTTCGGTTTGTGCCACATCTAAACCACTAAAATAAAAATCTCTATACATGCTTTGTGGACGAAATTACTTAGGTAGCGATGTATATTGTAGTTTTTTTGAAGTTATATTTTTTGAAAGTCAGTTTGATATAAGAAATTTTAGGATATTATATGGATTAATTGTTAGAATTTTTGGGTACAGTGATGTAATAGTGAGCCAGTCAAAAATGAGCTGACTCATTTTTATAGTTCACCAATAGAAGGGTTAACCAATCAAAAGCTCAAAATATTCAATGCGACGTGTATAAAGGCAGCCATTTTGTTTTTTTCCCAAAATATCTTCACTGCCAACCTGATATCGAAGACTTAAAGAATTACTTAACAGCTGCTACTTTCTCCGAATCTTCACTGCCAACCTCTGATATTGAACACATTACGGACTTCACTGGATTCTATATTCAGAGACTACGGCAAATATGGCCAACATTAATGTCATTAATTTTTTTTCTTTTTGGTGGTTGATTTTGTTTAGCAGCATATCAATTACTATGAACGAAATCTAAATATTTTGAACGCAGTTGCATCTCTTCAACTACATATAAAATATATAGTTGGTCATTTTAAAATAAATATGTATTTTTATTCTTTCTTAGTGTTTTAATTTTTGTTTTCGGTTTCAATATTTGCCCATAGATGGGACCCTATCAGGTGCCTAATAGCCCGGGCCAGTGTCAACCTGGGAACAACAATTAAGATGTGGTTCCACACTCCTCAAAACCCCTAATCTCCCGATCAGAAGCCTTGCTGCCGAATGTAGTTTATCGTCATACCAAGGATTAATATTATTGGTAATTTTATAATAAAAATGTATTTTCATACTTTTTAATGTTGTATTGATTCTTATTTTGCTATAAGAATGAACTATTGATTTTTGTTTTCGGGTTCAATATTTGCCCATAGATGGGACCCTACCAGGTCCCTACTAATTCAATTTAAGGGTTTACCTGGAAACAACAGCAATTAAGATGTGGTCCCACAAAATACAAAAAGCCTAATTCTCCCGATCAAAAGTCCTTTTGCCGGATGTTAATTTTATCGTCATCCCAGGACTCGGATATTTTTTAGCAAATAAACACTTAAATTTAAATGGATTTTATTTCGACATTCTTACTAGAAGTGCTCGTGAACATTCTACGGTTTACCTATTTCAATTTTCAGCTAAATTATATTTGTTAACAAAAAATTGTAATCAACTCCTTGCGGGTCCAACCGCCATGAAACCCCCATAGAAAGTTCCGTCTTCCATGTAAAATAATTGAGCATAAGAACTTCAACAAAATATCGCAGTAACAATCATAAGAATGAGTGAAGGTCATTATTTAAAGAAGTAAGAGGGTACAAATGAAAGGATTAAAAAACTCAACGCATTCTATTTCTCTTAACACGTGAGGGTTGTTAGGGTTACAGCTATGCGCAAATAGTGACACCCCCAAACAAAAGATCGACAATAGTTTTATAGTAAAATGACCAGCAATACATTTTTCTAATAAAATGACCAACAACATATTTTTATAATAAATTGATCCCAATACATTTTTATAGTAAATTGGCCAACAGTACATTTTTATACTAAATTGGCCAACAGTACATTTTTATAGTAAATTGCCGAACAGTACAGTTTTATAGTAGATTTCCCAACAGTACATTTTTATAGTAAAATGACCAACAATACATTTTATAGTAAAAATGAATTACAACAATACATTTTATAGTAAAATGACCAACAATACATTTTATAGTAAAATGACCAACAATACATTTTATAGTAAAATGACCAACAATACATTTTATAGTAAAATGACCAACAATACATTTTATAGTAAAATGACCAACAATACATTTTATAGTAAAATAAAAAACAATAATATTTTTTATAGTAAAATGACCAACAATACATTTTTATAGTAAAATGACCAACAATACATTTTATAGTAAATTGCCCAACAGTACATTTTTATAGTAAAATGACCAACAATACATTTTTATAGTAGATTTCCCAACAGTACATTTT